GAACTTTGAGGCTTATACAACAGAAATGTATTTGCCCACAGTTCTGGAGGCTGGAAGTCCAAGATCAAGGTGCTGGCAGAGTTGTTTTCTTCTGAGGCCTCTCTCCTCAGCGTTGGGAAGGCTGTCTACTCAGCGTTCTCAATTCTCTCCTCCAGGTGTGAGTACCCCCGGTGTCTCTGTGTGTCCAAATTTCCTCTTCTTATAAGGACACTAGTCGGATTGGATTAGGGCCCACTCTCAGGGCCTAATTTTAAGTTAATCACCTATTTATTTTTTAAGTTATTATTTTAATATACTGTTATTGACTTCAGAGAGGAAGGGAGAAGGGGAGGGGAGAGACAGAAACATCAATGATGAGAAAGAATCATCGATCAGCTGCTTCCTGCATGCCCCCTACTGGGAATTGAGCCTGAAACCGGGGCATGTGCCCTGACCGGAAATGGAACCGGGACCTCCTGGTTCATATGTGGACCTTCAATGACTGAGCCATCCTTTAAAAGGCCCTATGTCCAAATACAGTCATGTTCTGGGTTACCGGGGGTTGGCAATTCAGCAGATAACAGCCCTTTAGTAGCCTTTCAACCTTGGGCAAATTTCTTAGCTTCTGTGAGCTTTTCTCATTTATACCATGTAAACAGATGGGACTGTATTGAATTTATTGTCTGGGATCTTTCTGTAAGTGAAAAAGGGCAATAATAACAATGACACCAGTTTCATGGGTATAAACGTGGGCTGTCTCTTGCAGATATATGATCCCCTCCTGTGGACAACGGGTTACCAGTGACATCACAGGTTGCTGTGAACATTAAATAAAATCAGGTATTTAAAATGTCTGGAACATGGTTCACGGCTCACAATTAAACATCCCTTTATTTCTTGCAGGCTTATGAAGGCTAAGACCCATCCCTCCACACCCACACCTACTCAACTACAATTCTTCTGAACTGCAGGGAACTGTGGCCGCCAGCTACACCAACTCCAGTCGACAGCAGCCAGGGGAGTAAATGCAGCTACTCCGTTTTGAATGCTTACTTTGTGCCACACGCATGGAATACCTGCCACACTGCCACGGGAGGTATCATGCTGCCCATTTTCCAGATCAGACACCCAATGCTCAGCGAGGAGAATTTGCTCAACAACCCTGGGCTGACCCTGGGCTGACGTGGGAGGGAGCCAGGGATGGTGCTTGAGTTTGTAAGCTGTCAGGAACTGGTCCCTTAACCAAAACTTACTGACTCAGGATCTCTGGGCAAGTAGCCAAAGAATCTGCTTTTTTACTAAACACCCACGGGGGAGTCTTATGTATGCCGGAGCCTGAGAACTCCTGCACTGTTCATGAATAATGCAGGACTGGAAGCTTCATAATCCAAGGTGACAAAGACCGCCAGTGAGAAGCGAAGCATAGGACCTGACCTCTCCTACCCACGCCGGCCGCCAAGTGCCTGATGCACGATTGGAACTTGGGTGCTCTCACCTGGGGCCACCGAGGAATGCGTGTATGTCTCAGCCCATTCGGGCTGCACTTACAGAAGACCACAGACTGGGTGGCTCATCAGCAACAGAAATTTCTAGCTTCCTGGTTCATTGATAGCAGATTTCCCCGCTGTGTCCTCCCCTGGGGGAATGGGTGAGGGCAATTTGCAGGGTCTTTTCTATAAAGGTGCTAATAAAATTCTCCACAGCTCTGCTAACAGGATCTAATCAATTCCCCAAGGGCCTGTCTCCTTACACCATCACTTTGGGGGTTACTATTTCAGCCTATGAGTGCTTTTGGTGGGGGGATGCATCATCTACTGCCAGGTGCCGGGTGTCTTCTGCCCCTTCCTGCCTCCCCACTATTACGTGAAGATGTCCCTCCCACCCCTGCGACCCTGTCGCCACCCTCCTCTTCCCAGCATTCTCTTCCCAGGATGTGTGACTCTTCTCAACTCCTTCTCCAGATCTAGTCCCAGTTTTAAGGTGCTCACACAAGGGAGCTTTGTCTCCGGGTGTCCCTGTGGAATGTCACAGACAGCTTATCTCCTGTGACCGTGGCTCCTGGGATGCAGCAGGGCGCGTGCACGGCGGGCGGCACTGGGCAGTGAGGGAGGGATGCCAATGACACAGAACTCCCCTTGTTCTCAAAGAGAGGCCGCATTTGGAATGTGAACCCTGGCCAGAGCCACATAGCACGGGCCTTGTTGGGAAAAGCGAACTCACCTGCAAATAGGGCTGCAGGAGAAAACAGAAACCCCACTGAGACAGCTGGGTTCTCATGCTTTGGAGAGATGGTGGCAGATATAGTTAGGCCCATGACACTGGGGGGCTTTTCCTGCTTCTGCCCATCTGTCTGTTTCTCTGTAATATTACAACTTTTTAAGTTTATAGGCGTCTTTACTACATTTTTTTTTAGTCCAGAACCCAGAACTGAACCACGGAATCTCCAAGGGAAGCTCCGGCCCCTGGAGCCGGTCAATCACCCACAGCCTTGAAGGCAGGAGAAACCACAGACACACGGAAACGCAGGAATTACTGGAATGCTTCTTCCACGAGGTGTCTCTCTGAGAACAACGGTTACCAAATGCATGTAACCCTTTGTTCTGTGTGATCCTCAAGAGGTTTGGTAATTCTTTACACAGTACACTGAATTAGAATTCTCGGAATGACAAGTATGGAATGTTCCTACCTGGAGGATGAGAGGCTTGAAAATGAAGAGAGGGTGGCCACTGGTGGCCTGTGGATGACTCACACTGAGGGGTTTTGTTTGCTTTTTGGCCTGCAGTATTAATTTAATATTTAAAATCATCACCAATGTTTTAAAACCAAGATACTTCAAAGGCAAGGGCAGATTTCTCATTTCTGTTTTTAAAAATGGGAGATTTAGCAACCCTGGACATGAGTCCCTGCAGGACAATGGTGCTCCCGGCCCAACGGCTGCTGCCTGGCCACTGTAAGCAAACTGAGTTTGTCACCCTGGCAGTCACGCAATTTGCCTGGAGTCACATGGCTGGTCAGTACTGACAGTGCTCAGCGTAGTCACTCACACTGGCTTCTTTCTGAACGCAAGACATTATTTGAGGTGGGTTGTAAGATCTCATTTAAACCTTACAACTACTCTAGAATGTAGATATTAACAACCCCATTTTACAGATAGAGCAGTGGTCGGCAAACTGCGGCTTGAGAGCCACATGCGGCTCTTTGGCCCCTTGAGTGTGGCTCTTCCACAAAATACCACGTGCGGGTGCGCACGTACAGTGCGATTGAAACTTTGTGGCCCGTGCACAGAAGTCGGTATTTTGTGGAAGAGCCACACTCAAGGGGCCAAAGAGCCGCATGTGGCTCACGAGCCGCAGTTTGCTGACCACTGATAGAGCAACTGAGGCACAAGGAAGAAGCAATTTGATCAAAGTCAAATTGTGGCAAAGCCAGAATTTGGACCAGGGAAGCCCAGCTCACGAGGCTGCACTTTTAAACCACTAAGTTATACTGCTTCCCAGCGGTACAACCACATCTTGGATTCGAATCTCGAAACCACAGCTCCTGGTTCCATGAGCAGCTGGCATGGAGATCACATGCTCCTAATGAACAGACCTTCCCATTTCCTTGTGAGTCTTCCGATGAATTACTTAACGTGTTACAGTAATAATAACCATCTCACAGGGTCACTGTGAAGACTGCCTGAGATGCTATATCACAGAATTTTATTTTTTACCGCTCCATCCCGGCGTAGAGGGGGCAAGCCAGAACTGTTCCTGGAGAACAATGACCATCACTTTACAGTGTCCTGCTTTCACAGCTCTAAGGCGTTCCAGACCAGAAACAAGACCTGCCACGTGCCAAGAGAAATCTGAGACACTCAGCCTCCACCCAGCATAGCCGGGCAGGAGGGACGCGTCCTCTGTCCAGAGCTCCATGTCCTCCTGAAGCTGCCCACCCAGGCTCCGTTTGGACACAAGCCTTCCTGAAGCTCAGAACATAAGCCGAGTCTCCAGCTCAGCCCAATAATTAGCTTTTCCCAGGCACTGGCCGCGGCACCCACCTATTGTGCACCCGCTTGCTATGGTCACCAAGATGGCAGGCGGCCCAGTTGGAACCGATACTGCCAAGTGTCCAGTAGACACTGTCTAGAGTCCAAAGACACTGTGTTTTGTTCTATGGCTTCTGGGACTTCTGAGTGGGTTCCCTGTGCCCCAGGAGAACAGTTCAGATCTGAGTCCCCAAACCCAAGATCGCGGATGCCAGAGATCAACTCAGAGACCAAGGGTAGGTGAGCAGTGACTTCCCTGCATGGTGCCCAAGGTTGAGACTACTAAGCCATTACTTTGCCTCAGAATCTCAATATGGTCCTGTGAGCAGACATTTGCCAATAGATTCCAGTTTCCCTCTGAGATGAAATGTATTTCCATCCCTGAGCTGAATCAAACCCATCGTTTTCTGGCGAGGCAAATGAGACCCAAGATGGGAAGTGAATGTGCTAAGGGCCACACACAGTGTACACCAAACCCGTCTACAATCCAAGTTTCTTGATACAAAATCCAGGGTTTGTCCCTTTTGCCAAAATAAATGTCCATTCCCTCCCCGTTTTCATTATTTCCTCTTGAGCCCTCTCACAAGAGCCTCTAACCAGGACATCTTTTGTTCAAAAGATAGCAGATCCCGGCTCTGGGAAAACTGTGATTCAGCATTGCTTCATGTCCGGAACGTTTCCAAGAGGCCACACACATAGCTGCTGATTCAAGCCGGCGGGGGTGGGGGGGGGGACGACGACCGCAGGATGAGGGGCGCAGGGTGATGGAGTGGAGGACAGTGCAGTGGTTACAGAGGGCACACCCAGCTCCAGGCTGCGCCTTGGCCCAGGGAGCCTCCTTCCTAGGCTGGCAGGTCGGCCTGTGGGGGACACACAGGCAAAAGCTTCCCATCATGAGAGTCAGGGTCAAAGTCAGGAGGTTTCAGCCAGGGAGAGGCTCAGTGCCTCCCTCCTGCTTCCTCATCCTTCCCCTATATTTCTTCATGATAATGACAGTGATGGTGATGACGATGACATAGATGATGATGATGGCCATTATGAGAGCTATCATGTAAGTCCTTAAGAAGCACCGACTTAGCAATGCATGTGCATTACTTCAATAAATCCTCATTCAACCCCCGTGGATGGCTACTAGACTGACCATAGGGTCTGGAAACACAGATGAATTTATTTTAGGCTCTTCCCACGGGGAGAGGCTCTTGATGACATCATGTATTTGCCTGTTCCCAGACTGTGGATGGTAGTATTTGTTCCTAATGTACAGAGGAGGAGACTGAGGCTCAGGAAGGTCACAAGACTTGCTCAAAAGCCACAGAGCCATTTAACCTTAATATTTTTATAGAAGGAACCAAAATGCTTGCATGTGTATGCGTTGGCCTACATGGTATGCGTACACAGTACTTTTATCCCCATTAGTTGCCAACATTTAAAAATTGGGTAATGTCACAATATCCAGATTTCTGACTTTTTTAAAAATGTCGGAAGATCTGGACACGTGGACATGCAGGCTGGCACAGCTGCAGCTGGAGCGGGGTAGCTGCAACCTCCTTAGTGTGGGTACACACCCTCCTCTTGACCACAGCCCCTGCCCCACCCATCTCTGAACCACCAGACATTAATGTTACCCCCAGAGGAAAGTACCATTTTACCCACTGGATAGCTCATTAAACTTGACCCCACCCTCACCCATCCCGAGAAGGAAAAGTTCAGGATGCCGGGACTTGGGAGAAGAAACAGAAAAGCTCTAATAACCCGTGAGGAAGTGAAGCCCTGCGGTCTATTCACTTGGGAGCCTCCACCTGGAGCTCAACAGTCTTGGCCTCTTGGGGGTGGCAGGTGGGGAGGCCTTGGTGCAGAGGGCAGGGCAGGAGGACCTATGAGTGGTGCCCACTGTTTTCTTGCTTCCTGCACGGCCACCTGGGGAGGCCGCCTGTGAACTGGCTGTTTGTTCCTGCCCCTCCGGAAGGAAGCGCTCTCATCGCCCCCGACAACCGACTTGGCCCCAGGAGCCGGGAAAGTGCCTGGGCCTCCCAGCGCACTTTTTCCTTCTGCGAAGGGCAGCCCCAGCACCGCGGAGACAGGAAGATGGGAAGAAAGCACAGCCTGGGGTAGAGCATCCTGTGGGCCACTGACAAAGCCCCAGCTGGGGAAGGGAGGAGGAGGAGGCGGCCGGAGGAAGGGGGTCCGGCGGGGCACACAGATTCTGTACAATGAGCTCCTTTCATCAATGAATAGGGGACTCTCCTCAACTCGGTCTCAATGGCTTTGTTTCTGAAACGACCCATTCTCCACCCAGAAAACCAAACATGCCAGACCCTGTGCCAAGGTCAGGCAGGAGCCTGAGATCCCCGGGCGAGCTGATAATCGGCACCCGGGAGATGACCGCTGTGCTCAGTGCTGCTCGCTGACCCGAGCGCCACAATATCCCCTTTCATGTTGATGCTTTTCCGCCCTGGGGTGGGGGTGGGGGACCCACTCACACACGTGACATGCTTGGCATAACCGTGGGACCTATTCAGGATAGTAAGTATTCCCTCCCTGGGAACTTCATTGAGACATCTGTGCGGAGGGGGCAGTGCAGGATGAGAAGACTACAGAAGGGAGAGGCAAGTTAACGTCTGCAGTCTCGAGCTGACGCCTGATGCCAAGTGCACGATGCGGTGGGAATCAACAGTGAGGACCGGGGTAGCCTCCACTGAGCAGGGTTTCATCTTCAAGGGTTTACTGCACGGGTAGCACATAGCACACGGGGGGCCTCGGGCAGTATTCCACCCAGACGTGTTTTGTTCAGCCCGTGCCACGTCTAAAACATACTACATATGATGCCAACACTTAAAGTTCAGGAGGTCTCATGTAAAACTGCCAAGTTCTGGCATTTCTTAGAATCAGAAGACATGGCCACACAAACCCATCACCTTCCTGAGGCACTGACTGTCTGGACCTAGGAGTGGCTGTCCCCCTTAGAAGGGGCAAGCACCTGCAGCTTGTCACAGCTGCCGTCTCCCCACCCCCACCCCTGCCCCCATGCTTCCCTCAGTAAGGCTGCCTGCATGGCTGCTGTGGGCACTGGAGTTGGCAATCTCTGGCTCACCAAGTCCCAACACTCTCAGCAGAGGCCCTGGGGTTGGACCAAAGTATGGGACGTGAACCGTAGACTGGCTGTAAAGTAAACTTGGTTACAAAACGAAGGACAATTAGACTCAAGAAGAGAGTATGAGCACACACCCAGGAACACGGGGTCAGCAGCAGAGTCCGCGCCCGGGACAGGAGCTGGGGTCCCGTGTTCTCACTCCCTGCTGGGTATCGTTTTGACAACTCGCCCTGCTTCCCCGAGGCCAAGGACCATCTTCTTCGTTTTTATGCTTAAGGACTCCTGATGCTGCCGCCTAAAGCAGCGCTCTGCAAATTCTCGCTGAACCCAGAGCAGCGGAACCTCAAGTCACGTTGGGTTGGAATCTAAAAGGTGAGCTCTGAACCAGCCAACTTAGGAGTTGAATGATGTTTGCCTGCCTGCAAGTCAAGGCCTCACCTCAAAGATGAACCTGGGGAATGAAAGACAAGGTCAACCTACCGACCAGCTCATGCCTGAGCAAGTGGAGAGGTTCGTCTTTATGTAGCATATCTGATGAGCTAATGTTTTGGGGGAAGACATTACATGTACTGACATCAGACAATGAAAGTCACTTGCCAATTTATCCAAAGATGCAAACACTCAACAGGAACAAGGCAGTCCCACAGAGTGGTGGTGTGTACACGCTTCACAGCAGCTCTCCAGGCCCGAGAAGGTGGCCTGAGGTGACATGCACCTGCTTCTGCTATACGTAGCTGTGACCATGTTTCTTCAGCTCTGTATGTGAGTGTGTGCGTGTGTACACACATGCAAACATGAGTGAGCATTCACATGCATGTATGTATGGTCTCTGACATCCAACGCCCTTCTAAAAAGCTGCAGTAGGATCTCTAAATCTTGTCTTGTCTGCCTAACATCTCTAATTTGCCTCACTCCTGGTACTAATTTCGAATGGCTGCTGGGGGCAGGGAGAGCCAGCCTCAGGAGAGAGCCCACCAAGCTGACCTTTATTTCCGGGCCACAGCAGAGCGAGAAAGAAGGAGAGGCAGAGCAGGCAGTATTCCATGTCTGCACTTTGCATTTAGCTATAATTATTCATGCAGGAGCATCTTTAAACACCAAAAGGGGGAAATATTACAGTTGTTCTGATTTCACACGCTAAATGTGTTTACATGCTAACAGCATTTCTCAGGGACAATTATCTTATTACTAGTGCACTAATCTTTTCAATCTTTTCAGCACAGTTTACAGCTGCAGACTTCAAAAATTACAGCTCATTAAGACCCTGCTTTCGGCAGGTCTGATAAACTATTCGAGCATTTTACCCAAGTGCGAGAAAATTATTTGGGGGAGGGGGTGAGACTGGGGGGTGGGCACAGTGTCAAAGAGAAAAGGAAGACCCTGTCTAGCTTCCATCAGCTTGAGGGCTAACCCCTCCCAATGCCGGGATTCTAGAATCCAGTAGACAAGTTCCAGGAATGGAGAAGCGCACAGAATTCAGGACCAAGGACAGCTGGGCTGGGCCATTGAAGGAGAAAGTGGGTATTTTTTATTTGATTATCTATTTCCATTTGTTTACATTCTTCCATGTGACTTCAGCACAGAGTCCTGGCTGAGAACATGAACTGTTGCATCAGATGACCTGTGCTCCATTGTGCTGTGTGACCGTGAGCAAGTTATTTGCCATCTTGGTGCCTCAGTTTCCTCCGACGTGAAATAGGGATAATAATAATATCTACCTAACAGGCCGCTTATTGGGATTGATTGAATTAACATTTGTAAAGAACCTGGAATAATATCTGGTTCCTAATAATCATCAAATAAATATTTCATTCATTCATTCATTTATACTCACTCCAGGACACATTTATTTATTTTAGAGAGAGGATGGGAGAGAGTGAGAGAGAGAAAAACATTGATGTGAGACAGCAATGTCCCCCAAGGGGGGATCAACCTAGGTATGTGCCCTGACTGGGAATCAAACCTGCTACCTTTCCGTGTGTGGGACGACGCTCCAACCAGTAACGGAGCCACCCTGGCGAGGGCTAAGTATTTCTTTTAAAATGTGTGGGCTGCAAGGCTGTCACATACCTAAACAACATCTGTTTCTAACATGCTCTTGACCTCACTCATATTCCCTACATTATGGGCCATTTGAGAACTCCTAATACATAATCACAGATGTATTCATTGTGGCTGTTGGCGACACATTCTCCAATTACTTGTCCTGCTATCTCAATAGCTGCCATATGAAACCAAGACCTGGGGTCATCCAGTATTATTTTTTATTTTTCATTTTGCTTTGTTTTGAGTCACAGAGATACAGACTGCTACCTGGAGGGCTATTGTGGGAACCCAGGTTTGCGTCCCAGCTCCTCAGACCCTAAGCACAGCTCAGGCATCCTTGTTTGTGGTGTGTGAGGAGCTGCTAATCAAGTTCTCATGGTGCGTGGACCACTGAATTCCATCAAGCACATGCTGCATGACTCACAAGGACTTGGCTGTCTACAGTCCCATCTTCTTTTGAGCTCACACCAATCCCAAGGATAGGTAATCCCGTGAGGTAAGTAGTGCTGACCCTATTTTATAGATGAGGAGACTGAGGCCTTAACCAACTCTTCTATGATTGCATAGATTGCTAATGAAGCAAAGTAAAAATGTGGCACAAACTACGAACATTCTCTCCGCTATTTTCTTAAGCTACCTGGCTACAATCTCTTAAGGCTACTACTCATAGAACTAATGGTAATAACCACCACCACCACCATCAACCGATGTATACTACATGCTAGTGACATGTACTCACTCACTTCATCCTCACAAGGACCCAACCTATAAATTTTTAGCCCCTATTTTACAGATGAGGGAACTGGGCTCAGAGAGGTTTATGCGACATGCCCAAGGTCACACGGCTACAGCATGTTAGAGCCAGAACGTGACCAAATTCAGAAGATCTGTCACCAGAT